GGAAAAGAAGAATGCCCACCCCCGTCCTTGTATGCAGCACTCAGCCTCAGTAGTTATTGATGGGGGGACCACCTGTAGCCCCCCACCCCCTCGCCATTGGATAATTAAAAGCAAATTCTGGACATCACATTTCATTGAAAAAAGTTTCAGATGTGTCTGTAAAATTTAAACAGCTTTACAGAGGCATAGTTGACAGCAGACAGGAAGAGCCATTTTCCCTAACCCTCTACACCCTAGCGCGACTGTGCTTTCTAGTGTGCGTCTGGTCCTTGACCGCATGCAGAGTAACAGTTAATATTTGAAGGATGGCAAGAATTACTCAAGTGGTTGACAGTTTTAGTAAAGTTCCCTATGAAGAATAAAGAATAGTGAAGTGTGTTTCCAGGAAGACCTGTGGCTGTGCTCCAGTCAGCAGTTAGCACGCGGCGGGGCGGAGCGCGCGGCTTCCTGTTGTGCCGTGTGGGCGCCTGGCTGTGGAATTCCCCCCGTTTGCCCTGAATCTCATCTCTGTCCTGCACTCTGAGTGCAGCACACTGGAGCAGTGGGCTCTTCTTTAAATGTCCACATTGTGTCTGAAAAATACTACACTTTGGCATTTTAAAATATTTAATTATACCTAGAATGTAGTTTTTTTGATTCATTAAGATTATTATACTAGAAGTCTAAAGAACATCTCAGCCTGTGTCTGGATCCCGTCCTTCAAATACTGATAATCCTTTATTTTTCTTTACCTTCAGTCTCCCCTCTTTTACTGGATCGTTTCTTCAGAAATTAAGCATAACCAAGTCATCTCATCTCAGTCTCTCCTCATTTTCTCTTCTCCCTTCAGCTGCAGCTGTCTGTCTTCCCCATCCGGAAAGCCAGGCTTTGTCCAGTTGTCTGTGAGTGAGTTCTCTGTGTCCCACCTCCTGCTGCTCCGCAGGCCCCCCCATGTCCTGCGCTCCTGCCACTGCGCTGGCCCAGCCCTCGGCAGGTGCTCCTTCCTCGTCTGCATGCAGGGAGCGTGCTTCTCCCTAACTGGCCTCCCAGCCGCTTTCAGCCGATTGCCTGGGTCCCTCTTTGACACTTGGCAGAAGACACGCCTGGTTTTCCTCCTGGCTTTTAGGCTGTTCCTTGTCGGCCTCCTTCAGTGGCTTCTTTTCCTCCGCCCACCCTCACACAGAGCTTCTTTGTGCGCTTTTCTTCCTGAGAATTCTCAGTAACTCAGTTTCCTGTCTCTAGTCTAGCCTTTTTCATCTTGTCCACTTGGTACCCTCCCTTGGCTGTCTCTTAAGTACCTCAGATTCCGTGTGTGTTAAACTGAATCTTTTATCTTCTCCCTAAAGCGTGGAACTCTTCAGTATTACCTCACCCACTGGATTGTGGACTCTCTTCTCAGGCCTGGAATCTGTGCATCTCCGCTACCTTTTACCTCTCCCACAATTCTCAAAGCCAGTCAGCAACCAGATGCTTTTGGGTTTACCCACTGAACACAGCTTGAATCTATACAGTTCCGTTTATGCCGCCGACAGTAGAATTCAGGTAACCTCCTTTCACCAGCATTACTGTAATGACTTTTTCTTTTGGCCTCTCCCACCTGCTTTCACTGCTGTAGCCGTCACAGAGCAGCCTCTTAAAACCATGTTGATGTCATTCCTCTGCTTTAAAAGCTGTGGTCTTTCTAGCACTAAGGAAGGAAGGACAGACAACTTGCACTTTTACGCCCTAAAATCAAGGTGAGAATAGATGGCATGAAGAAACCATCCAGGACTAAAGGGAAAGTCTGATTCCCAACTCAGTAAAGTTCAAGGTGAAAAGTCATCATTTTCAGATTATGAATTAATGAGCTAACGTCATCGTGACAGAAGAAGGGTGATGTCTTCGTCCTTTGCCTTTCACTGAGCGTGTTCTCTTTTGAACCATTTAGTTACCTGCTTTTGAATGTCCTCCTTCACTATTCGTAATGTTTGTTACGTTATTGTTTACGAGTGAATAGTAATACCGCTCTTTCAGAAGCACATCTGTCTTCAGGCACATCCATACATTAATTTATTCTTTCAGGAAACGTTTCTGGGTGAGAATGGGTGGCGGCCTGAGTGCTCCGTGCTGACTCTTCGCTCCCAACATCTTCCTGCAATAATTCAGCTGCTAGAATACATCACTGAACATGGGTTTGTGGGCCAAGTGTAGCTTTCTGCTGAGCCCCAAACACACCCTTCCGGAGGAAATGACACCGACTCAGAGCTGTTAGAAGTTGCTTCCGTGTGCTCACAGGGCAAGGGGTGACCAGGACTCCCAGAGGCCTGGAAGTAGATCTTATTCTCTGAAATACGCCAGTCCCTCGCCTGCTTAGCAGAGCCCTGGGGCTGAACCAGCTGCCACCCTCTGCAGCCCAGAAGCTGTCGCCCCTGCAAGCTGGTCACACAGAGCCTTGGGGAAAGTCCACAGTCCTGCAGGTGCCAGTAGCCCATGACTGTAACTGCTGTCCTCTGTCTTCTGGAGATGCCTGCCTTTTCTGCTCATGGCAGGAGTGTGCCCAGAAACTGGAAGCCTCCCCCTCTACCTGTCAGTCAAGGGGTGTCCTGGGGAAGAAACCCCGAGAGTTTGTCCTGCCCAAGTGGCTAGGAAATTCACTTCTGCTGGTGACAGTGTATTTGGATGTGCCTAGAGAAAACAGGTTCCTAACAAGGCAGATTCAATGGAAATGTCACAGAATAAGTAGTATCAGGAAGAAAACAGGCACAAAACTGTGTTGGCATCGTCTTTTCTGTGCCATATCCTAGAAAAGACGGTAGCTTCTCAGGGCTCATGGAACCTGTGCGGTATCATCCCAGATGAGAGCAGTATGAAGGGAAGTATGTTGAATGGGTTGAAAGAGACAAAATCAGAGACTGGGGAAGAACATGGGAAACAAGGTGGAAGAGACTGTCCTGCATTGGTGGCACTTGGCCTCCCACATCAAAGGGTGGCTGCAGCTGTCAGGTGTGTGGTGAGGGGCAGGGAGTCTGTGTGAGGCTCCGAAGGTAGCAGTGTGCAAGAAAAGATAGCGGGAAGTCAGTGCCTTTTGCTAAGAAGTAGAAAACTGAAGGCCTTGGATAAAGGACGTGGACCCTTCCTTGGCTGCTGACACCATTTCAACCTGAAACTCTTATGTAACCCCGTGGAGCAGGGCCCCAGAGGACAGATTGAGGTTTTTAACCCTTCAAAAAGGGGCTTGAAGGAATTAGATTTGGGGAAGTAAAGGAATGAGAGTATTTGCTTCCTGGTGATGTAGAGTACAATTCATTCAGTCAGGCATTTTTGACAGCAAAAAAAGGAAAACCTGTAATACAGAGTCTCAAAGAGATGAGAAAGCAGTGCAACAATGTGATCTCATAGCAAAGGGCTTCCAAAAAAATAACCACAATTGGGGGAAAAAGTATCTTCCTCTTTAAAAAATCACTGATCTGGAGCAGGGGTCAGGAAACCAGAATGTGTGGGGCCTTACGTAGCCACCTTTTCTGTGTGCATAAATGTTTACTGGAACACGGCTGGACTCGTTTGTCCCCCTGTCGTCCTTAGCTGCTCTCACGCTGTGATGACAGAACAGAGACAAAGCTGTGACCCTGTGTGGACTGCAAGCCTCAGCGTTCGCTCTCTGGCCTGTAGGAAAATATTTGTGGGTTCCTGAAGAGGAACCAGTGGAGTTATTTTCTAATACAGGGAGACTATAAAGAGGAAGAAAATGATGGACAGAAAGCAGCTAGAAAGGTGTATGTGCACACTCACACACACTCCCTCCCTCCCAGCCCCTTACACACACACAGGCACATCCCGATGGCCACGTAACAGGACCTCCAGAAATAGCCAAAGGGAACCCGAGCAATATCGAAGAAATAATAGAAGACAACTTGCATAAGCTGTAGTAAAATCTGTGTTTAGATAGCAAGACGCCTCCACACGCCCCGCAGAAGGAAAGGAGGGAAGAGCCAGCAAACTGGGAGACGGTAGTGCTACTGCTGAGCTCTGAGGGGGAACGTACGTACTTCCCAGGACCAGCATCAGGCTTCCTTTGGGACTCTGACCTGTGGCAGGAAAGCTAGAGGACAGCAAAACAAGGTGCACGAGCTTCTAAAATGACTCTGTGAACTGTCCGCTTTTGTGGTTTTGTAGAAAATTGTGTTCTAATCCTGCGGAGCTGTCACCTGGGTCGGTCTGGGTAAATGTTTAGGAGTTCTCAGGAGCCCAGCAACCTTCCAGTAGATGGAGACATAAAATGCTATGTCGGAGGCCACCTAGCCAGTCCTCGTTCCTGGCTTGCCTCGGGTCAGCCGCGGCTGGCGCCGGGACATCGAGCCGGCTGCGCTCGTGGCCCCTCAGTCAGGTCGCAGCACCCAAGGATGCATAGAAACCCCTTTCCTTCTGTATGGCATATGGAGGTTCCTGCTATCTGAATACAGGCTTGGGAAATTACGGGGATGTGGTCGTCAGAAATTGGCGGCAGCGGGAAGCCCCAGCCCTGTCGGCTGAGTTGGGTCGGGGTTTCATGTGCAGCCAGAATAGATCAGAAAACAGTGAATGAGCTAGATGTAGACCTCTTGGTAGAGTGCAGGGTGATTCTAGTGTGCAAGGGCAGTCGGGTGTCATCTAAGTAATAGCCATCAAAATGGCATCAGCTTGTTAGTGATGAAAGCTGCAGTGTTTAAAATCAAAATGCTGTCCACAGATCACACCAGTCATGGTTAACAGATGATAACTTCACATTTGTCTCTCTTTAATAAAGCCCAAAACTTAAATGGTTATTACACAAATATGTGGATGGCCAAAGTTAGACCAAATAATCTATTTTGAGGTGTAAATAATAACCTATTATTTGGGATTTCAGCTTAAGTGACTGGGGTGATACCAAGATTTAGGTACTTTTGTGTCCCGGGCAAATATATTATTACAGAAGGTTATTTGTGCACAGTATATAAATCCATCAGAGTATCTTTTTTTGTGAACAAGATCATTTTCTCAACCCATTATTCCTCATATTTTAGAAAAGGCGCCGGCGGATTGACCGAAGTATGATTGGAGAGCCCACAAACTTCGTGCACACGGCTCACGTGGGGTCGGGAGACCTGTTCAGTGGGATGAACTCGGTAGGTACCTGGGTGGGGCCTCGGGGCGTAGTCACGCGTCCACGTGCTGTGTGACAGGCCCACTCGCTCCTCACGGCTGCACTACGTGCAGTGAATTGATAGACGTGGAGTAGACATACGTAGGGGAGCATTAAAGGGAGAAGGAAGTGAACAGTGAAAAAGTAATCTCTTGCTTTGCTTGCCAAGTTCTGTGTTTGTTGATGTTTGCACTGAGCTCTTTGTAGCTGTCTGTCTTCTGAATACTGCAAAACGTTTGCGTTTAGAAGGGAAGATAATAGTTGATTCTCATGCCCCCGGCAAAGTGACTTGGAGGTCAGCTCTTCAGTAACATTTAACCTCTTTCTGTTCTCTCGAGGCCAGTTAGTTGCATTCTCTAAACATATTTATTACATTTACTTTATAAAAGATGAGCCTGTATCTGGTATTAGTACGCTGGTGATTTATTTGTTACTGTCACGTAAGTTCTCCTGCGCCAAGCGGAGGATTAGCATTTGTGCTTGACTGCTGTCTTTTATAGAGGTTTCCGTGAATTTCACTGTAAAGTTCAGAGTTACTCAGCTGAACTCTCATTCCTTAATTTTCATCTAAAGTACAAAGATGTGTCTAAATGTTCCCTCAAGTGTTTAGAACCAGAAAGTCATAAGGCTTTTATGAACACAGTTATGATACATTGTAAGCTCACTTACTGGACAGCCTAACAAGAGACTTAAGTGGAGAATAGAGACCTTTAAAGTAGGTAGATGAGTCTCCTGGAAACAGCAAGCAAGTTTGTCACTGCAGTTACTAGGTGTATACCGCAAAGGAATGACATTGGTAGCTTCCTGGAAAGGAAACAGCTTGTTTGCTTTAAATCTGAAGGAAAAGTACGTTGAAGTGGTTTTGTGGACATGTAAGTGGTGTCAGGTTGCTGTCAGACACAGTTCTTTCGCTTTGTTTTTGGATCCACGTGGCCCCAGTGGGACCCTGAGACTTCTGTGAATATTGAAGTCACTGTGATATATATGAATAGAATGAATGGTTTCAGTTTTATTATAAATGATTAATTTTAATTTCTTTGTCATCAACACATTTCATCTCCACTTCAGTTTTTAAAAGTGTAACTATATAGGACCAATTCAGTTTTTAGCTCATGGTACTTAGTCAGCCTTTAAAATCTCATTTATACATTATTCTTCGTTCTCTTACTCCTCTTCTATGTTAAATAGATTTTGGTTAAATGTAACTTTAACTTTGAGAATAAATTTTGTAAAATCGTTTGTTATAAAAAAAATCCCAAATAGTTACATGTGTTCAACTCTGAAAGGAAAAAAGGTAACAAGCAATACATAACACTTAAAGTAAGTGTTTTGATGTCTGATCTGCTGATTTAACACTTGGCAATGAACTTGAGAGATTTTAAAAGAATGGACATCCTCCGTATTTTTGTATTATCTAGTGAAGCGTAACAATCGGAAGAAGAGGAAAGAACCGATGGCCTTTTCCTCTTTTCATATGTGTCGCACTGGGGCAGTCTGGGGCCACGGTCAGGGGACTTCTCTTCCGGTCATCACATTGTGAAGGGTTCTTCATCCGTGAGTGCCAGCACTGGGGGAGCTCTCGCTAGGAGAACCTGGTGCAGCAGGGCGCGTGCCGCTTCGCTCCCCAGCCGCCGGCACTCACGGAGTTGCTGCTGCGTGTCCGGCGTCCTTTTGGCACTTGCCATTGATCAGTTAATACCATGCTCATAACAGCCTCTAAGTTCTTTTCACCTTTCGTCATATTAGAGATAAGGAAGCTGAAGGCTAGAGAGGTTGCGGTGTTAATGCATAATCATGTACCTGTGAAGCTGTAGGATAGAAATGAAAATGACGACGGTCTGGCTTCCAGAATGCAACAGGGCATGTAATGTTCGCTCCTATTCATATATGATGAGTTAATTTTTTCTCTTTTACTGTTCTGAGTTTATAATATCTTTTTTAAGGGAATAATAGAGAATCACCCTTCAGGGATCCAAATGAGAAATAGTGTAACTACACTAGTGTTATCATTGTCAGTCGTGCTGGATATAAGGTGACATTTTGTGAAGGAACAGCAGAACAGGTCTCGTGCAAGGTGACTGATGGTGGAACAGCAAACTTCTGGAATCCTTATCTGGTCTTTTAAAAAGATGATGTTAAAGAGAAAACCTAACCATCTCTTAAGGACTAAGTGTTTGTGTCCCCTCAGATTTGTATATTGAAAGCATAACACACATCGTGATGATTTTCAAGTGAAGGCTTTGAGAGGGAATTGCCTGTAGATGAGGTGATGAGGACAAGCCCCTCATGATGGGGTCAGTGTTTCCATAAGAAAAGGATGAGAGATCAGAGCCCTCCCTCTGTCTGCGCTGTGTCGTCTGCAAGCCAGGAACAGGGCCACCATCAGGACCTAGTGATGTTAGTACAGGGTGCACGTTGCACTGCACTTCTCTTGATCTTTTGCCACAATGTCAACATTGTAATGATACACCGCAGTATCAAAATGGAAAGTTCATTCTCAGCACAATTTCTTCAGCTTCTCATCTAAGGCAAAGACATTTGCAGTCCCACCCAAAGAACATCAGTAGCTGTTTTTGGATCATTCATATGTGTCTGTTTAGTAATACGATACAGTGAATTCATTTGCAGTCAGGAATGATAAACACTAAAGAATGATAAAATGGTCTGCAATAGCAAGAATGTAATAAAAGTGCCCTGCCTCTCTGCCTCTCTGCCTCTCTGCCTCTCTGCCTCTCTGCCTCTCTGCCTCTCTGCCTCTCTGCCTCTCTGCCTCTC